AGGAGCGAGTCACTGCTTTGATGTTTGCAGCGAACGACAGGGTGTTGTCCAGGGTCACACCAAGGTAATTTTCACTCTGGGAGGGGGACACCGTGGAGTTGTCAACCGTGATGGAGAGGTCTTGGAGCGGGCAGGCCTTCCTCGGGAGGAAGAGCAGCTCCGTCTTGTTGAGGTTGAGTTTGATGTGGTGGGCAGACATCTAAGCTAGATATCTGCCAGGTACGCAGAGATGCGTGTCGCCACCTGGGTGTCAGAACGGGGGAAGGAGAAAAGTAGTTGAGTGTCACCCGCATAGCAATAATAGGAGAGACCATGTGAAGATATGACGGAGCAGAGTGACTTGGTGTGTAGAGAGAAGAGGAAAGGGGAGAGGGCCTATAACTGAGCCCTGGGGGACACCAGTAGTGAGAGTACATGGTGAAGACACAGATCCTCGCCACGTCACCTGGTAAGTGGCCTGCCAGGTAGGATGCAATCCAAGAGTGTGCAGAGCCTGAGACGCCCAGCTCTGAGATGGTGGAGAGTAGGATCTGATGGTTCACGGTGTCAAAGGCAGAGGATAGATCTGGGAGGATGAGAACAGAGGAGAGAGTTTTGGCAGTGCAGAGAGCCTCCATGACACAGAGAATAGCAGTCTCAGTTGAGTGACCCATCTTGAAGTCTGACTGTTTAGCGTAAAGAAGATCGTTCTGAGAGATAGTGAGAGAGTTGGTCAGAGACCAAAGAGAAGAAAGAAAGTATACTGGTCTGTAGTTTTTTACGTCAGAGGAGTCGAGTGTTGGTTTCTTGAGGAGGGGAGTGACTCGGCCCATTTTGAAGTCAGAGGGGACGCAGCCAGTGGTCAGGGATGAGTTGATGAGGAATGGGAGAAGATCTCAAGAGATGGTCTGGAGAAGGGAGGAGGGGATGGGGTCGATCGGGCAGGTTGTCGAGCATTTTATCAATATTAAATGTCATATTAGTACATTTTTATGTACAGTATGTCTTGAATGTGTTTTAACCTTGTGTTGTCTACGTGTGTCATTCATTTAATTAAATTGTATTTTCATACAAAACTTCGCTGTGATCTCCTCCACGACGCGTTCATCTCTCAGTGCCTTGACTCATTTCTTCAGCACATTGGCACATTCGAGGGAGCGCCGAGAGCACTCACCTTGGTGCTCTGTAGGGTCCTGGCCACTGCCTCACAGGGCCCGAACAGTGCTTCACTACACAGTATGCTGAAGTAGGTTCTTCCTTTGAGTGCCTGTTTGTGCAGTCCCCCGATTTCTGCTCTCGTTTTCCCTTGACACTCTTGTCATCCTTCAGTATGTCTAGTGAGGAGAGGAGAGTGCTGCAGACGAGTGAGATGGGTTTCGTGCGCATGCACCACCTGGTTGGACACAGGCCTAGGATGTTGGTCACTACTTCTTCCACACCAAAAAGAGACTTGTACTACTGTTTACGCTTGTGTGGTTCTCTTATGACGACTGCCACGCCCTGCACAACGTTCAGTGTGTCAGCCACAAGGCTCACCTCGTGCGAAAACTTCTTGCAAAACCAAATCCAGTGACTGGTTACTACAGTGCAAATACATGGACCCTGTACATGCCTCTTTCAGTTGAGCCTGCACACCTGAAAAACGGTTTGACATGCTTCCTCCATCAAAGCAGTATCCCTGGAGCCGTTCCAAGGGAATATTTAACAACGCAAAAAGATGTCCTTCACACACAAGAACAGAGTTTCAGCTGTAGAGTCGGGGGCGTCCAGGTTCTGGTCGACATACTGGAGATTGTTCCATGGTGCACACGTCAGTGGTGCCATCAGCAGTCAGGCCATAGAAGGGACACTGATACGCGCGACACAATCTCCCTCTGTACGGCGTGAGCCAGTTGTTGAATAATCTCATTCTGTATTGTGTCCGACATCCAGTTGTCTCTCCTGTGAACCCATTCCTGTTCCTTTGGTATATTGTAAGTGCGTTCTATCATCAACTTGTAAAGCACACCGTCACGAGTTGTGCCACCTCTGAAAGGAACAACAGCTCTATTCCTGGCAATGCCCTGTTCTGTAACAGCCATATCTGAAAACAAGGCACTGATTTGTGTCAGTTTTAGTAAACAATGTTTTGGTGCAACAACACAAATTCTTACACCTCTTCTGCAGGGGGTGCTGCCGTTTTGCCATTTCACCACAACTTGACGGCGTTATGACAACTTGCTGGCAGTGGGTTCAGAACAACAAGGATAAAAACTATACCAAATAAAATATATATATATACAGTGGCTTGCGAAAGTATTCACCCCCCTTGGCATTTTTCCTATTTTGTTGCCTTACAACCTGGAATTAAAATGGATTTTTTGGCAGTTTGTATAATTTGATTTACACAACATGCCTACCACTTTGAAGATGCAAAATATTTTTTCTTGTGAAACGAACAAAGCTTTGCAGCTCCTTCAGGGTTATCTTTGGTCTCTTTGTTGCCTCTCTGATTAATGCCCTCCTTGCCTGGTCTGTGTGTTTTGGTGGGCGGCCCTCTCTTGGCAGGTTTGTTGTGGTGTCATATTCTTTCAATTTTTTAATAATGGATTTAATGGTGCTCCGTGAGATGTTCAAAGTTTCTGATATTTTTTTGTAACCCAACCCTGATCTGTACTTCTCCACAACTTTGTCCCTGACCTGTTTGGAGAGCTCCTTGGTCTTCATGGTGCCGCTTGCTTGGTGGTGCCCCTTGCTTAGTGGTGTTGCAGACCCTGGGGCATTTCAGAACAGGTGTATATATACTGAGATCATGTGACACTTAGATTGCACACAGGTGGACTTTATTTCACAAATTATTTGACTTCTGAAGGTAATTGGTTGCACCAGATCATATTTAGGGGCTTCGTAGCAAAGGGGGTGAATACAATGCACGCGCCACTTTTCCGTTATAAATTTTTTAGAATTTCACTTCACCAATTTGGACTATTTTGTGTATGTCCATTACATGAAATCCAAATAAAAATCCATTTAAATTACAGGTTGTAATGCAACAAAATAGGAAAAACGCCAAGGGGGATGAATACTTTTGCAAGGCACTGTACTGTATACCACCATCTAAAAGGGCACTTGGCAAGTGGAAAGGCAAAGGGGCATGTGCTCTGCACAGGTAGACTCTATCTGTGCATGTGCCTGGGAGTGAACTATTTTAAGGGTGAAATGTAACAATGTACTTTAGGCTACTCACCTGTTGTTCATCTCTCTCTCTCGGCCTGCTATTCCACTGGCTTGTTCCTAGAATTAATCTGCTGTTCTTGTTACCGTTAAAACATCTCCCCTTGACCCTCTCACCCTGGATCCGGACCACCACGTGCTGTCACCCTAGCTCCCTCCCTCCACACCTGTCCTAGAATGGAGCGTGGTTCACATTCCGCTGTTGTTGTGTCAATACAGTAGATTGTCACTGGCACTAAGGAACATTTTGACCTGAATCCTCTGACCAACCAAATTATGGCAGGGAACAGTGTAACAGGGAATCATAACAATACATTGATTAGGGACCTTTCAGAATTTACGGGACAGGGTACTTGGAGAATTTGTGGGAGGGTCATACTTTTTCAATTTCAGTCCGGGGAAGGGTTTAGTATTTTTTATTGTATTTTATTTATTTCTCAGTGTTTTAGAATTAGTTGCTTATTATATCTCAATGTGTGCCCGATGCCTCCCCTCAGTGGTCCTCTGTAGCTCAACTGGTAGAGCACGGCGCTTGTAACTCCAGGGTAGTGGGTTCGATCCCCGGGACCACCCATACACAAAAATGTATGTATGCATGACTGTAAGTTGCTTTGGATAAAAGCGTCTGCTAAATGGCATATTATTATATTATTATATATTTCTAATTCTCTGCTGGGCGCGCAATATCACGTTTGTGTGCGCCTATACTTTACTGTGGTCTCAATCAAATGAGCCATAGGCTGAAGTGTATGAGCAGAGAAGCACATGGTAAAGTTATATTTCTAAGACAATTTCCTAAATATGATAGGCAATTAACATCAACATTGCTATGTTGCCATGTAATGTTTTTGAGACTAAGAAGTTTCTCAAACTGCATATCTAAGGCTCTGGTGTAAAATATATTTTCATTTCATTGAGGTATGATTTTCTCCATGTACCACTTATTATAAAAAAACGTACAGTCCCTTAGGTCTGCAGTACATTATGTCATTTCTCTCTCTGTAGTTTTGTGTTGGCTGAGACTTGTCCTACACAGCATCTCCTAACATGTTACCTCATAGACAGTCTATAGATCTCTCTCTCTCTCTCTCTCTCTCTCTCTCTCTCTCTCTCTCTCTCTCTCTCTCTCTCTCTCTCTCTCTCTCTCTCTCTCTCTCGCTCTCTCTCTCTCGCTGCTTGTCCTCCTTACACAGCCAGGGACATTTTCATAATGAAATGGCCTTCAGAAGTCATAACTCACCCTGAGGTGTCTATCCTCCACTGAAACACGCCTGGCTGAGATTGATTAATCAGCTCTTTACTCACTACCATGTCACTAGCCAGCCCCGTGGTCTGAGTGGTGTGAGTCAGAGACAATGACTGTGTATGAAGGAGTCGGAGATGACGAGAAGAGTATGAATAGAAACGAGGACTAAGCTTCATCATTCTGTTTTGATGTAGGTTTGTGTGTGAGGTGTGTGGAAAGATTAATAATGCAGCACTGGCTATCTATGTCTATCATGATGGATGTGAACCACAACTGGAGGCTCCAGCTTGACTCTCAGATGTTTAGTGGCAGGGGAAGTAGTAGGCTGAAGCTCAGCGTTGTAGCGCGGTTGAAATGTAAAATATCATTTTCAATTGAGCAGGCATACAGTATTGCCTTTAAATGTCAATCAAGCGACAACGCCGATCTGATCCAGTCCTAAGTGGTTTGAAAAGAACAACACTGAAATATGCCCTCCTGTCCTGAAGAACATGGTGTTAGTTTGTACATGTAATAGAGGTGGGGTAGGATAAGCTCCTGTTTGTGGTTACAGGGGACGTATCAGCCACTCTGGCCAGTGACTGCAGAGGTGAACAAGGGGACATAATATGGAGCTTTAGCTGTTTTCACAACACCACTGTTCTATTCTCACCACTCTGTTGTGTTCTCTTGTCCCTCCAGGGTGCATGCTGTGTTTTGGTCAGTCAGCCTTTTTCCGCTTCAACCACCCAGAAGAGGCCCTCAAGATGAAGAGCATGCTACCTGGAGGAAGCCAGGGGCCCAGCGCCTACAAGGCCCACCACACAGGTAACCATCACATCTCAACACTATAGGAACCACACAAGTAATGATAGAGCAGGGGTACTATTTGAGAAGGTCCGGTCAAACACATTTCCTAGGTGGCAAAGATCCGGATGGATGTTGTCATTTATCGGCATAGTAACAAACCCCCGCCTGGCAATCCATGCAACCCCAAACTGTTCAAACTGCTCACACCCCTCTTGTTGGCCATTTTAAAGCTCAGTTCCTGCAATTCTACACATTTTGCCATGGAGCGGGGAGAACATTGTGCAGTTTTCTAAGCTAATTTGCTGCAATTCTACACATTTTACAATGGCTTATGTGTGTTCATATGGTACCTGAGTGACTCAACTAAATCAATGGGGGCCCCCCTGGGTGTCGAGGCCCTCAGCACGTAATCTGGCCATGATAACTACAAGATTTAGATAGCTTGTTAGCCTAACCTACCTATCTAGCTAACGTGAGCTAGTAGTTGATCAACAGGACATTTCTGACAGGTTATAAATAGCTCTCTAAGGTCTGTCAGTGAATGACATAACAAGAGGAAAACGACCAAATTTCAAAATGACACCTTGTGCATTCTATTATTATAACTCTCAACAGCAGTAAGTTGAAAACCCGACTGAGTCCCCCCCCAAATTCTATAAATCAATAAATGTTCTGGGTTCGGATTGGGGCCGCGGTCCGCCAATTGAGGATGGCTGTGATAGAACATGCTGCAAGGTAATGACATCACACAGGTAAAGACCAGCGTCTAACCATCACATCATATCAGATGACACCACATCATAGCTCTACACAAAGACCAGCATCAAGCCATCATAATAGACCCAATAGGAACCCCGCAATTTATGTCAGATTTAGTGTTTCAAACTCATTGTAATCGATGACAGAGAGTAGTAGACATTACAGTTCCACCCTGTCTGGTGACATTCAGTTGATACTACAGAAATATGCACTAGCTGAACAAACCAATACATCAAGCTACTGTACCTTCAAACACTGACCCAATATGAATTGACTGTCATTAATGAGGTGGTCGTTGACAGGGTTTCTAGATAACCGAAGGGACTGACAAAAGAAGGAAGATAGATAGCTCTCCCTCTTGTATGGCACCATTTTGAGCCTATTGTGAAAGACTGCCTCTTAAGGTTATGACCCTGTCTCTCTGTCAGTTCTCTTGGCTCGACGTATGACAAACCATGTTGTTGCAATATGTGGTGGGTGGTGGGTGTGTCCTTCAATGTGTAGGGGTCAAAGATTGGTATTTTATGGACAACAAGACAATCTCCTAATACAAGAAATGACTGGAGAGTATTAGCCTTTAAACAGCCTTTAGACCACAGCGTCAGGCACGTTAGATAGGAGTCGACCTGTGCTGAGCACATGCCACTTTGCCCTTTTGGGTAGTGGTACATATATATACAGTACCAGTCAAAAGTTTGGACACACCTACTCATTCAAGGGTTTTTCTTTGTACATTCTACATTGTAGAATAATAGTGAAGACATCAGAACTATGAAATAACACATATGGAATCATGTAGTAACCAAAAACGTGATAAACACATCAAAATATATTTTATATTTGAGATTCTTCAAATAGCCACCCTTTGCTTTGATGACAGCTTTGCACACACTTGGCATTCTCTCAACCAGCTTCATGAGGTAGTCACCTGGAATGCATTTCAATTAACAGGTGTGCCTTCTTAAAAGTTAATTTGTGGAATTTATTTATTTCTTAATGCGTTTGAGCCAATCAGTTGTGTTGTGACAAGGTAGGGTTGGTATACAGAAGATAGCCTATTTGGTAAAAGACCAAGTCCATACTATGGCAAAAAAAAAAGCTAAAATAAGCAAAGAGAAACAACAGTCCATCATTACTTTAAGACATGAAGGTCAGTCAATTTCAAGAACTTTGAAAGTTTCTTCAAGTGCAGTTGCAAAAACCCTCAAGCCCTATGATGAAACTGGCTCTCATGAGGACCGCCACAGGAAAGGAAGAGCCAGAGTTACCTCTGCTGCAGAGGAAAAGTTCATTAGAGTTACAGTTGAAGTCGGAAGTTTACATACACTTAGGTTGGAGTCATTAAAACTTGTTTTTCAACCACTGTGGATGTATTTCAAGGCCTACCTTCAAACTCAGTGCCTCTTTGCTTGACATTTTATTTTTTATTTTATTTCACCTTTATTTAACCAGGTAAGCCAGTTGAGAACAGGTTCTCATTTACAACTGCGACCTGGCCAAGATAAAGCATAGTAGTGCAATAAAACAACAACACAGAGTTACATATGGGGTAAAAAACATAAAGTCAGAAATACAACAGAAAATATATATACAGTGTGTGCAAATGTAGCAAGTTATGGAGGTAAGGCAATAAATAGGCTATAGTGCAGAATAATTACAATAGTATTAACACAGGAATGCTAGATGTGCAAGAGATTATGTGCAAATAGAGATACTGGGGTGCAAATGAGCAAAATAAATAACAATATAGGGATGAGGTAGTTGGGTGGGCTAATTTCAGATGGGCTGTGTACAGGTGCAGTGATCGGTAAGGTGCTCTGACAACTGATGCTTAAAGTTATTGAGGGAGATAAGAGTCTCCAGCTTCAGAGATTTTTGCAATTCGTTCCAGTCATTGGCAGCAGAGAACTGGAAGGAATGGCGGCCAAAGGAGGTGTTGGCTTTGGCAATGACCAGTGAGATATACCTGCTGGAGCGCAGACTACGGGTGGGTGCTGCTATGGTGACCAATGAGCTAAGATAAGGCGGGGATTTGCCTAGCAGTGATTTATAGATGGCCTGGAGCCAGTGGGTTTGACGACGAACATGTAGTGAGGACCAGCCAACAAGAGCGGACAGGTCACAGTGGTGGGTAGTGTATGGGGCTTTGGAGACAAAACGGATGGCACTGTGATAGACTACATCCAATTTGCTGAGTAGAGTGTTGGAGGCTATTTTGTAAATGACATCGCCGAAGTCAAGGATCGGTAGGATAGTCAGTTTTACGAGGGCATGTTTGGCAGCATGAGTGAAGGAGGCTTTGTTGCGAAATAGGAAGCCGATTCTAGATTTAACTTTGGATTGGAGATTATTTATGTGAGTCTGGAAGTTGAGTTTACAGTCTAACCAGACACCTAGGTATTTGTAGTTGTCCACATACTCTAGGTCAGACCCGTCAAGAGTGGTGATTCTAGTCGGGTGGGCGGGTGCCAGCAGCGTTCGATTGAAAAGCATGCATTTAGTTTTACTAGTGTTTAAGAGCAGTTGGAGGCTACTGAAGGATTGTTGTATGGCATTGAAGCTCGTTTGGAGGTTTGTTAACACAGTGTCCAATGAAGGGCCAGATGTATACAAAATGGTGTCGTCTGCGTAGAGGTGGATCTGAGAGTCACCAGCAGCAAGAGCGACATCATTGATATACACCGAGAAAAGTGTAGGCCCAAGAATTGAACCCTGTGGCACCCCCATAGAGACTGCCATAGGTCCAGACAACAGGCCCTCCGATTTGACACACTGAACTCTATCTGAGAAGTAGTTGGTGAACCAGGCGAGGCAGTCATTTGAGAAACCAAGGCTATTTAGTCTGCCAATAAGAATGCGGTGGTTGACAGAGTCGAAAGCCTTGGCCAGGTCGATGAAGACGGCTGCACAGTACTGTCTATTATCAATCACGGTTATAATATCGTTTAGGACCTTGAGCGTGGCTGAAGTGCACCCGTGACCAGCTCGGAAACCGGATTGCATAGCGGAGAAGGTACGGTGGTATTCGAAATGGTCAATTATCTGTTTGTTAACTTGGCTTTCGAATACTTTCGAAAGGCAGGGCAGGATGGATATAGGTCTGTAGCAATTTGGATCTAGAGTGTCACCCCCTTTGAAGAGGGGGATGACCGCGGCAGCTTTCCAATCTCTGGGGATCTCAGACGTTATGAAAGAGAGGTTGAACAGACTAGTAATAGGGGTAGCGACAATTTCGGCGGCTAGTTTTAGAAAGAAAGGGTCCGGGGGGCATGGGCAAGTTGCAGCAGAGGGTGCAGAGTTGGTGGCCGGGTTAGTGGTAGCCAGATGGAAAGCATGGCCAGCTGTAGCAAAATGCTTGTTGAAATTCTCGATTATTGTAGATTTATCGGTGGTGATAGTGTTTCCTAGCCTCAGTGCAGTGGGCAGCTGGGAGGAAGTGCTCTTATTCTCCATGGACTTTACAGTGTCCCAAAACTTTTTGGAGTTAGTGCTACAGGATGCAAATTTCTGTTTGAAAAAGTTAGCCTTTGCTTTCCTGACTGCTTGTGTATATTGGTTCCTAACTTCCCTGAAAAGTTGCATATCGCGGGGGCTATTTGATGCTAATGCTGTACGCCACAGGATGTTTTTGTGCTGGTCAAGGGCAGTCAAGTCTGAGGAGAACCAGGGGCTATATCGGTTCTTAGTTCTGTATTTTTTGAATGGGGCATGTTTATTTAAGATTGAGAGGAAATTACTTTTAAGGAACAACCAGGCATCCTCTACTGACGAAATGAGATCTATATCCATCCAGGATACCTGGGCCAGGTCAATTAGGAAGGCCTCCTCGCTAAAGTGTTTTAGGGAGCGTTTGACAGTGATGAGGGGTGGTCGTTTGACCGCGGACCCGTTACGGACGCAGGCAATAAGGCAGTGATCGCTGAGATCCTGGTTGAAGACAGCTGAGGTGTATTTAGAGGGTATGTTAGTCAGGATGATATCTATGAGGGTACCCATGTTTACGGATTTAGGGTTGTACCTGGTAGGTTCGTTGATAATTTGCGTGAGGTTGAGGGCATCTAGCTTGGATTGTAGGATGGCTGGGGTATTAAGCATATCCCAATTTAGGTCACCAAGCATTACAAACTCTGAGGATAAATGGGGGGCAATCAATTCACATATGGTGTCCAGGGCACAGCTGGGGGCTGAGGGGGGTCTGTAGCAAGCGGCAACAGTGAGAGACTTATTTCTGGAAAGGTGGATTTTTAGAAGTAGAAGCTCAAACTGTTTGGGCACAGACCTGGATAGTATGATAGAGCTCTGCAGGCTATCTCTACAGTAGATTGCAACTCCACCCCCTTTGGCAGTTCTATCTAGACGGAAAATGTTATAGTTGGGGATGGAAATTTCAGAATTTTTGGTGGCCTTCCTGAGCCAGGATTCAGACACTGCTAGAACATCAGGGTTGGCAGAGTGTGCTAACGCAGTGAATAACTCAAACTTAGGAAGTAGACTTCTGATATTTATGTGCAAGAAACCAAGACTTTTGCGATTACAGAAGTCATCAAATGATAGCGCCTGGGGAGTAGGAGTGATACTGAGGACTGCAGGGCCTGGGTTAGCCTCTACATCACCAGAGGAACAGATGAGGACTAGAATAAGGATACGGCTAAAGGCTTTAAGAACTGGTCTTCTAGTGCGTTGGGTACATAGAATAAAGGGGGCAGATTTCCGGGTGTTATAGAAAAGATTCAGGGCATTATGTACAGACAAGGATATGGAAGGATATGAGTAAAGTGGAGGTAACCCTAAGCGTTGGGTAACAATGAAAGAGATAGCATCGCTAGAGTCATCAATTGAGTCGGTCTCCGCGTGTATAGGGGGAGGTGCAAAGGAGCTATCTAATGCAGGTTTAGCTAGGCTGGGGGGTCTACAGTGATATAGTACAATTAGAAATAACCGAAACAACAATAAACTAACCATGTTTGGGCTGAGGCTAAACATAAACAGGATGTAGTACCGTAAAAAGGAACAGTCCAGCAGATATCAGCTGTATAGCTGAGTTATCATGGGAAAATGAAAATAAATCAGCCAAGACCTCAGAAAAAATTGTAGACCTCCACAAGTCTGGTTCATCCTTGGGAGCAATTTCCAAACGCCTGAAGGTACCACGTTCATCTGTACAAACAATAGTACGCAAGTATAAACACCATAGGACCATACCGCTCAGGAAGGAGACGCATTATGTCTCCTAGAGATTAACGTACTTTGGTGCGAAAAGTGCAAATCAATCCCAGAACAACAGCAAAGGACCTTGTGAAGATGCTGGAGGAAACAGGTACAAAAGTATCTATATCCACAGTAAAATGAGTCCTATATTGACATAACCTGAAAGGTCGCTCAGCAAGGAAGAAGCCACTGCTCCATAAAAAAGCCAGACTACGGTTTGCAACTGCACATGGGGACAAAGATTGTACTTTTTGTAGAAATGTCCTCTGGTCTGATGAAACAAAAATAGAACTGTTTGGCCATAATGACCATCATTATGTTTGAAGGAAAAAGGGGGATGCTTGCAAGCCGAAGAACACCATCCCAACTGTGAAGCACCGGGGTGGCAGCATCATGCTGTGGGGGTGTTTTGCTGCAGGAGGGACTGGTGCACTTCACAAAATTGATGGCATTATGAGGAAGGAAAATTAGGTGGATATATTGAAGCAACATCTCAAGACATCAGTCAGGAAGTTAAAGCTTGGTCGCAAATGGGTCTTCCAAATGAACAATGACCCCAAGCATACTTCCAAAGTTGTGGCAAAATGGCTTAAGGACAACAAAGTCAAGGTATTGGAGTGGCCATCACAAAGCCCTGACCTCAATCCTATAGAAAATGTGTGGGCAGAACTGCAAAAACTTATGCGAGCAAGGAGGCCTACAAACCTGACTCAGTTACACCAGCTCTGTCAGGAGGAATGGGCCAACATTCACCCAACTTATTGTGGGAAGCTTGTGGAAGGCACCCGAAACGTTTGTCCCAAGTTAAACAATTTAAAGGGAATGCTACCAAATACTAATTGAGTGTATGTAAACTTCTGACCCACTGGGAATGTGATGAAAGAAATAAAAGCTGAAAGAAATAATTATCTTTACTATTATTCTGACATTTCACATTCTTAAAATAAAGTGGTGATCCTAACTGACCTAAGACAGATAATTTTTACTAGGATTAAATGTCAGGAATTGTGAAAAACTGAGTTTAAATGTATTTGGCAAAGGTGTATGTAAACATCCGACTTGAACTGTATGTACATGTGGGTAGAGGTAAAGTGACTATGCATAGATAATAAACAGAGAGTAGCAGCAGCATAAAAAGAGGGGGTGTTGGGACAATGCAAATAGTCCGTGTAGCCATTTGATTAGCTATTCAGGAGTCTTATGGCTTGGGGGTAGAAGCTGTTAAGAAGCCTTTGCACCTAGACTTGGCGCTCAGGTTCTGCTTGCCGTGCAGTGGCAGAAAGAACAGTCTATGACTAGGGTGGCTGGAGTCTTTGGCAATTTTTAGGGCCTTCCTCTGACACCGCCTGGTATAGAGGTCCTGGATGGCAGGAAGTTTGGCCCCAGTGATGTACTGGGCTGTACGCATTAACCTCTGCAGTGCCTTGCGGTCGGAGGCCGAGCAGTTGCCATACCAGGCGGTGATGCAACCAGTCAGGATGCTCTCGATGGTGCAGCTGTAGAACCTTTTGAGTATCTGAGGACCCATGTTAAATAGCCTTATAGCCAACAACTAGCTGGCGCTTGTGCTGTCAAATAGTCCCACATGCGCAATCAAGGGATGTGCTACTTTGATGAGTGAAGAATCTTAGCAAGCCTGCATAGTGATCAAAACGAACGACATCCATAGATATAGAACAAAAAGAATGAACGACTGGTTCGCGTCTCTGGCATGTATGAATTCACTTGTCAAAATGAAAATATCAATGAAAACATGTCATTTCTATTCTATACCAGTAAATGTGTGCTTTAGTATTGTTTTCTTTGGCAACTGTGGTATAAGCGGGATAAATGGCTCCGCGTTCTACATTACCTTGGAACTAAGGAACTCTGCGGACAGATTGTTCATTCTCCTCTGACCTTAGTGCTGCAGCTGGTCTGAGAGCCACACCCGATCCTGTGTGTGTGTGTGTGTCTACGAACCACGCTTTCCTGACTGGGCCCAGTGAGATTGCATCTGCAGCCTGTGATTGAAGTAGAGAGTTTTTAAATTTAGCAGCCCCAGATCCCTATAGGATTACAGCACACACAGCTGAGAAACAAAACCTACAATACACACAGGGTGTGGTCACAGTAGCCTACATACTGTACTATATACAGTAACTGCATGTTTTAGTAGGATCTAAAATTCTTAAGTGTGTGTGTATGTCTGTCTGTCTGTCTGTCTCTCAGTCATTGCTGAAGTGTGCGGCCTACTTTAGAAATATATATACCTTTAAAACACTGACTGGTTCCTTCTCCTGTCTTACCATAGACTCCCACACGGTGCTGAATGGGAACCACCAAGCTGCCCTCCATGAGAGAACCCTTTCTGGCTCTGGCCCACACCCAGGCCCCATGACCAGCACCATAGAGAGGGACCTCCAGGACATCATGGACTCTCTGGTGATGGATGACCCCCAGTCCTCCGGGAAGATGGCCCACCACCCCATCCCTCAGTCCCCCCTCTCCCCCATGCTGAACGGGGAAGGGCGTTACCTGCTCTACCCTTCCACCAGCCCTGGGGCCATGTCCGTGGGCTCCAGCTATGAGAACGCCTCCCCGCCCGGCCCCTTCTCCCCGCTCTCCTCTCCTCTGTCGGCTGCCAGTAGTGGTGCTTTCCTGGGGCCTGGTACTTCTCCAGTGCCTGCCCACTCCTCCAGCTACACCCTCACCACCCAGACCCCCGTCCCCCAGCCACGGACCTCCCCTCCTGGGGGCTACAGTGGACCTGCTGATGTGCAGAGGATCCCGGAGAGCCCCAGGCCTCTGAGGAGGGCCCTAGCGGAGGCCTCGCCAAGCCCCACTGCTTCCCGTAGAGGCGTGGGTCAGGACAGCCCAGTAGGCAGTTCAGAGACTCCCAGAGCAGTACATGGAACATCCCACATCCCAGTCTCCAGCGCCAGACTAAACTCTAAATTCTCTGGATGTCAGGCATCCACGGCCCCCTCCAGCCCTAGGGTGAGGGTGGGCGGCTCAGGCTCTCGTCCCCCCAGCCCCCAGCACTTCTCCCAGGCCCAGTCCCACACAGACAGCCCTCAGCAGACACGTAGGACACCAGAGCCCTCTGGACCCTCTAGCCTGAGGGAGCTACCCCCTCCCAGCCCCTCCATGTCCCGCAGAGGGGCTTCTCCAGCACAGGGCTCCCTCCAGGATAGGGGGCTGCGAGCCAGGAGTCCCTCTCCCACCTCCGGGGGAGGCAGGCAGCAGAAGGGCAGCCTGGGTACCGCCTTCACCCCAGCCCTGGGCTCTCTGTCTGGGGCAGGAGCTGGGCCCTCTCCTCTCACGAGCCCCCAGGGCCAGAGGAAGAGGTCTGGTAGCGCTGGGGCCACCAAGGACTCCAGGGGGCCTGTACGGCCCCGGACCCGGGAACGCAAGAACAGCATCTCAGAGATCAGCGACAACGAGGATGAGCTGCTGGAGTACCACCGCTGGCAGAGAGAGGAGAGACTCCGCGAGCAGGAGATGGAGAAACTGGTGAGTATTCAGGTGTGTGTGCATGTGTGTGTGTGTGTGTGTGTGTAGAGGTGGTGTGTGGAGGTGGGGGGGCTATATGTGCTCAGAGGAGTGGAGTTCTATAAAGAGGTGGTGGTGTCTATATGTGCTGGGTGGGTGTTCCAGTCCAGAGGAAGCTTGCTTTGAAAGTGATTGCTGCTCCCCCACTCCTGTGTTGGGTATATATAGAAGTCAGTGAGACAGCGACGCCCTCAGCACATGGACCTTCAGACTCCCTAAGGAATTTACACAAGCATGTCACTCTGATTGCGTCCCAAATGACACCCTATTCCCTATATAGTGCACTACTTTTGACCAGAGCTCTATGGGCCCTGGTCAAAAGTAGCACACTTTTTAGGGAATAGGGTGCTGTTTGGGACACATACCTCTGACTGAGCCCAGGGACCCAAGGGCAGGGTGGCTCAGTCACCATGCAAACACACACAGACACACACACAAACACACACACACACACCACGCCAGCAGCCCAGGGATCTGGGTTCATACTCCTGGCAGATAGCAGCTGATGAGACCACAGGGGGGGGAGCATTCCCCTCCTGTTACCCCATTTACAGACGCTATTTCAGGAGCCAAGAAGTCTCTGGGAACAAATAGGACAGTTACTGACAGCATTTAGCAATATAAGCATGGGAGAGAGCCAGAGAGGGGGCAGAGTGTTTGCATGTATGGAAGAAAGGTCAGGGTGGTCAGAGCTGTGGGTTGGGAGGGAATGTGTCAGTGGCCTCATTTATAAACGTTGCGTACGTAGAAAATATACCCCAAAACATGCGTCAGTTTTCACACAAAAGTTGGCATTTATAAAAAACGGAACTTGACATGAGGAAGTGCTTAACTTCCCGCAAACTTTAGACCATGCGTACACACAATATCTAGTGGTTGAAGTGTTGCATTGCAAGCAGGCAAGTAGTATTTTGTGAAAATGGGTTATATGATGACACCCTTATGCATAAAAAAATGAAAATATAGTAACAAGATGCAAGCATTTGCCATTAGTGAAATTAGCAAAAATCTATTTATTTTATCTTTGCAATCTAAAATAATTACAGATAGGAATATATTTCATATGAATTTATTTCATTTCCATTATCATTTGCAGAATAAATTCCTCACCTTTTCTGACTGTGATGGTTTCAAAAAAAATAAAATAACAAATTATAATACAATTGTATTTGTCACATGCGCCGAATTCAACAGGTGTGGACTTTACGGTGAAATGCTTACTTACGAACCCTTCCCAACAGAGTTCAAAATAAGAAAAATATAAATAAAAACACAAGAGGAATAAAATACCAAGCGGTGATGCAGTCAAGATACTCTCAATGGTGCAGCTGTGGAACTTTTTGAGGATCTGAAGGCCCATGTCAAATCTTTTCAGCCTCCTGAGAGGGAAGAGGCGCTGTCGTGCTCTCTTCAAGACTGGGCGGGTGTTTGTGGACCATGTTAAGTCCTTAGTGATGTCCGAATGGACAAGTAAAAACTAATCACACAAAAATCACAATATCCAAGAATTACTCAAATCAGATTTGGATCAGAGAGGCCAACATTGGAATAATATTCAAATCTATTTTTCATGTACATAAATAAAAAAGCCTATGTGCATATTGGCTACATGTCCAAACCGATGCTGACATGTGGGAGGCGCTAGAAAATGTAGCCAAACTTTAATGAGACTTTTAATACATAAATATAAGCTAAACACCAGTCATGTTTCACAAATATAATGAAGGATCATTAACATTAACGTCTAAAGGCTTGATTCTGTCGACATGCTCAAGGCACGGTTCGTTCATCTCAAATGAATACATACATCTGGCCCTTCATTGGACACTGTGTTAACAAACCTCCAAACGAGCTTCAATGCCATACTACACTCCTTCAGTAGCCTCCAACTGCTCTTAAACACTAGTAAAACTAAATGCATGCTCTTCAACCGAACGCTGCTTGCACCCGCCCACCCGACTAGAATCACTACTCTCGACGGGTCTGACCTAGAGTATGTGGACAATTACAAATATCTAGGTGTCTGGTTAGACTGTAAACTCTCTTTCCAGACTCACATTAAGAATCTCCAGTCCAAAGTTAAATCTAGAATCGGTTTCCTATTTCGCAACAAAGCCTCCTTCACTCATGCTGCCAAACATGCCCTCGTAAAACTGACTATCCTACCGATCCTTGACTTCGGCGATGTCATTTACAAAATAGCCTCCAACACTCTACTCAGCAAATTGGATGTAGTCTATCACAGTGCCATCCGTTTTGTCTCCAAAGCCCCATATACTACCCACCACTGTGACCTGTACGCTCTTGTTGGCTGGTCCTCACTACATATTCGTCGCCAAACCCACTGGCTCCAGGCCATCTATAAATCACTGCTAGGCAAATCTCTGCTTTATCTTAGCTCATTGGTCACCATAGCAACACCCACCCGTAGTATGCGCTCCAGCAGGTATATCTCACTGGTCATCCCCAAAGCCAACACCTCCTTTGGCCGCCATTCCTTCCAGTTCTCTGCTGCCAATGACTGGAACAAATTGCAAAAATCTCTGAAGCTGGAGACACTTATCTCCCTCACTAACTTTAAGCATCAGTTGTCAGAGCACCTTACCGATCACTGCACCTGTACACAGCCCATCTGAAATTAGCCCGCCCAACTACCTCATCCCTATATTGTTATTTATTTTGCTAATTTGTACCCCAGTATCTCTATTTGCACATCATCTCTTGCACATCTATCATTCCAGTGTTAATACTAATTGTAATTATTTTGCACTATAGCCTATTTATTGCCTTACCTCCATAACTTGCTACATTTGCACACACTGTATATATATTTATTTCTGTTGTATTTTTGACTTTGTTTTGTTTTACCCCATATGTAACTCTGTGTTGTTGTTTTAATCGCACTGCTTTGCTTTATCTTGGCCAGGTCGCAGTTGTAAATGAGAACTTGTTCTCAACTGGCTTACCTGGTTAAATAAAGGTGAAAAAAAAAAAAAAAAAAAAAAAAAATGGTCACAAGACCGGAGAGTGAAGGACAGTGCCTGTTGCACACCACACATCACCCACCTTGAATCTGAGTGGTCAGCATTTTGATACTATTTAAACATGAAACGTAATTGTTTCAAACCTGGACATTTTATGTAATTTTATGAAGCATGTCTTACTTTGTATCAAAGTAGCCTAGCTTAGCCAAAATATGACCATAGAAATGTTGAGGGATCATTTCTAACAGATATTTTCATCTATGAGAATGGTGTTTTCCTGCTAATTGCATTTTGGAACATTCACGCATAGCCTACAGCCATGTGCGTATTATTGAGCTTATGATATAAAGAAATACAACTTTATCAACATTTTAAGCCTAATGATCAGCCTCATTGCTTAAAAAAATTAAAATGTGCAGTGGTTGTATGAATTTTGGATCTGCCGTCCCAGATCTGTCCCAGAGTCTGTTTTGTACTGTATACATATTTTCTATCTTCCCAGGGAGATGGGACACCCTTAATTTCGAGCCCTGGAGGGAATTATTTGGTATGAATTGTTATGTTGCAATATTTTATAGGCTACTAAGGATGGCCAACCATCCTCCATGAGAGCCTTAAAAGGGGAGTGTTGTATTTTGAGATATGCAAAGAACCCAATAGGCAGAGTGTAACCACAGCTTTGTCTGATTCTATATGATAAGAAAAGTTAGTAATACATTTTAGTGGCATCCTTGCATCCTACAATGTTGTAAAAATTGGTTACAGACTTCAAGAAATCTGTAAAAGATCAGTCCTACTTAATAATTCCAGGATCCAGTTGCAGAGGGAGGTGTTCAGTCCCAGGGTCCTTAGCTTAGTGATGAGCTTTGTGGGCACTATGGTGTTGAACGCTGAGCTGTAGTCAATGAACAGCATTCTCACATAGGTGTTCCTTTTGTCCAGGTGGGAAAGGGCAGTGTGAAGTGCAATTGAGATTGCGTCATCTGTGGATCTGTTGGGGCAACAACACATCTGCCACGCTGATCCTCAACACGGTAGCCCCTTAAGTTTATTTAGTAAATGTTTTCTTGAATATTTTTTCTTAAAACTGCATTGTTGGTTAAGGGCTTGTAAATAAGCATTTCACAGTAAGGTCTACACCTGTTGTATTCGGTGCATGTGACAAATACAATTTCATTTGATACAACAAGGATACTATTCGTCCCATCTCTCATTTAAATGGAACTACTTCACAGTAGTAAATAGATAAGCTATTTCAAGTATTTTGCTCTATGCGATCCAGAGCACCATTAAAAAAATAGGCTACAGTAGAACTTAAATGGATACTTCGGGATTTTGGCAATGAGTCAGATGAACTCGTGGATACCATTTTTATGTCTCTGCGTGCAGTGTGAAGGAAGTTGCTAACTAGCACTAGTGCAATTGCTAACTAGCGTTAGCGCAATGACTGGAAGTCTATGGGTTTCTGCTAGCATGCTAGCAGATACCCATCTGCTATGGTGCTGATGGTCTGTCCATCTGTGTTTCTGTGTGTCTGTGTGTGCATGCACATGCATGCATGTTTATGTAATCGCGAGATGATCAGATATCACAATTCGTTACACAAGATTACACTTATCCTCACAATGTTATTTTATGAGTAAGACAGATAAAGGGACACGCAGGGAGAAGGATAAGATAATAAAGATAAAAGGATCAGAGCGAGCGAGAGAGAGAGCTTTTCTGTTGTCCTCTCTCCTGTCCTGTCAGTGAGGTAATGTGGGTCATGGTGTATCTGTGGTCTAATTCCCAGACAGAGTAGGGGCAGAGCAGCCCATGGAAATGGAATTGCTAGAATGGAAAAAGACCCTCAGACCACAGCAATTTGACTGTACAGTCACAGCGCTGACTGAAATTGGCATATTGGCGCACGTTTTTAAGGACACACCTAAAATATTTCCACCTCTCCCAACTCAGCAGGCTGATGTTAGACAGGTCGTTTGCCAAAAAATGCCAGTGCGGCAGTTTTTGCAAACTTTGACACTTGCACCTCCTTAAGGACAGCCGAAAATAGAGCCCACAGTCTGAAAAACAGGTCTGCTCACTCAACAGTTTTAACTAACTCAAAGATATCCTGTTTCCGGCAGAGCCATAGATAGAGATTGGTTTCCGTTGAAGATTGAGGTCATTATCAGAGGCCCATACCTTTGTACTGTATCTGTTCCTGGTTTACCCCCACCTGCCCTGGCTGTTTGACTGTTGTTGCGTTTGGAACTCCTTCTGTTTGTAGTTTAGGCTACTCACCATCAGGGGGCAACAAAGTACCATATCCTTGAACCTACAAAAGTGGAGGACTTTTTACAGTAGGATTAACTGGTGCTAGGCAAGTTATTAATTGAACCTGTTACTAGATATAGTGATGTCAGTTCAGCCTGTTCTCTTTGTGTCATGCTGTGGTGCTGTGGTAGACTGACTGCCAACATCTCCCTTTGTAATTTCATCATATTCACTTTGGGATTAACAGTGTTAAGACTTGAATTAATGACACAAAGAACAAACTGGCAGTTACCTTTCTCACTGTTCCACTGAACTAAATGTGGGAGCCTTGTTGCTGTTGTTAAACTCTGAATCCACTCTTATAGGAGTAGGAATCTGGAGTTATGGGCTGTAAGGAATTTTACTTTATGATCCCATGTAAAGCAATCAAAATATGTGATATCCTGCCAATAAGGTTGAGTGTTCACGCTAAACCATAAGGAATGTCTGAATGTGTGTAGATACTTAGATACTCAGAAAGTAGATGAGGTATATTATCGCTGGGCCTTCACAAGCTTTTCTCTCTTCTCTCTCTTGTGCATATTTCCTCCCTGGTGGTTTCACAAACATGTTACATGGGTCAGTAGTGGGTGGGTGGCATGAGACATTTGTTATTCTGTCTCAGTCACAGTGTTGTTTACACACACACACACACACACACACACACACACACACACACACACAAACAAACACAGACGCACACACACAAACACACACACACACCGTTAAGTACCCTGTTATGACCCCCTGCTGAGGCTCATGTTGTGGACTTAACCTTAAGTAGACAAAGCTTTGTATATGGCTCTAAATGCAGATTCTGACACCTCTTTTCATGAGAGTGAGCGTTTCCAATATGCCTGTATTGATTTGAGATACCTCTTCTGTCTGGGCAACTGAGGTCATGAGTTCATATGATTTAACTCTTTGCCAAGAGTTTTGACTAAATAATGTTCTGTAACACTGCCATAATGTCTACAAATGCACCTATACCGAGTTGTACCTTGTAGGTGCAGTATGATTCAATTTGTTATATGAGAGTGACAAAACATAGCAGGACGTGTCTGTGAATACATTGCATGACTCCCTCTGCCTGTTTGCAGGTCATGGTGAGCTGTGGTATCTCAGTCATCTCATGCCACTATTTTCATTTAGCCTAGCTTCTCTGGCCTGAATGGTGTGGAGTAATGGGTGGCATGACCTGCTAATGGTACTGCCAACCTGGCTGCTCAACAGGCAGACTAGAGGCCATACAGTATATGGTAGAAATGAAGTAGGACCTGCATACACGATTGCTTCACCACATACCTTTAATCAGGCTAGTAAATACACAACATTTCAATCCAATTTTTCTTCAGCGAGCTCAGCACCCCTAACAAGTGATGTGTGTTTGACTATACATACTATATGTACTGTGTGTGGTACACAGGGGAGTGGGGCAGAGTGGCTTGTGGAGATACATGTGAGGGGAAATGCCTGCAGCAGATGGTGAGGTCAGAGGTGAAAGGTCACTGAAGTCACTGATGGGGTCACAAAATGGGAAGCAGCAGGGGGTACTAAGGGAATGATTTCAGCATTGTCTGTTCTGGTCTGTGTGTGTGTGTGTGTGTGTGTGTGTGTGTGTGTGTGTGTGTGAGCTGTGTTTTTGTTTGTGTTAATGTGTCTATATTGAGTATGTGTTAAGTTTGAGTATGTGCGTATGTGTATATTTCTACTGGAAGTAAGTGTATTGGTTTACACCTTTATTTGGTTGGTGTATATGTGAGTTAATATTAGTTAGGGTTAGCTTAGGGGCTCTCAACATATCTGCTTCCAAAGAGGTGGTCAAGCGGCTAGAAATTGTGCTCTATGGAAGTCTAAAATATACAGTTGAAGTCGGAAGTTTACATACACTTAGGTTGGAGTCATTAAAACTCGTTTTTCAACCACTCCACAAATTTCTTGTTAACAAACTATAGTTTTGGCAAGTTGGTTAGGACATCTACTTTGTGCATGACACAAGTCATTTTTCCAACAATTGTTTACAGACAGATTATTTCACTTATAATTCACTGTATCACAATTCCAGTGGGTCAAAAGTTTACATACACTAAGTTGACTTTGCCTTTAAACAGCTTGGAAAATTCCAGAAAATGATGTCATGGCTTTAGAAGCTTCTGATAGGCTAATTGACATAATTTGAGTCAATTGGAGGTGTACCTGTGGATGTATTTCAAGGCCTACCTTCAAAATCAGTGCCTCTTTGCTCGACATCATGGGAAAATTAAAAGAAATCAGCCAAGACCTCAGAAAAACAATTGTAGACCTCCACAAGTCTGGTTCATCCTTGGGAGCAATTTCCAAACGCCTGAAGGTACCACGTTCATCTGTACAAACAATAGTACGCAAGTATAAACACCATGGGACCACGCAGCCGTCATACCGCTCAGGAAGGAGACGCGTTCTGTCTCCTAGAGATTAACGTACTTTGGTGCGAAAAGTGCAAATCAATCCCAGAACAACAGCAAAGGACCTTGTGAAGATGCTGGCGGAAACAGGTACAAAAGTATCTATATCCACAGTAAAACGAGTCCTATACCGACATAACCTGAAAGGCCGCTCAGCAAGGAAGAAGCCACTGCTCCAAAACCGCCATAAAAAAGCCAGACTACGGTTTGCAACTGCACATGGGGACAAAGATTGTACTTTCTGGAGAAATGTCCTCTGGTCTGATGAAACAAAAATAGGACTGTTTGGCCATAATGACCATCGTTATGTTTGGAGGCAAAAGGGGAAGGCTTGCAAGCTGAAGAACACCATCCCAACCGTGAAGCACGGGGGTGGCAGCATCATGCTGTGGGGGTGCTTTGCTGCAGGAGGGACTGGTGCACTTCACAAAATAGATGACATCATGAGGAAGGAAAATTATGTGGATATATTGAAGCAACATCTCAAGACATCAGTCAGGAAGTTAAAGCTTGGTCGCAAATGGGTCTTCCAAATGGACAATGACCCCAAGCATACTTCCATAGTTGTGGCAAAATGGCTTAAGGACAACAAAGTCAAGGTATTGGAGTGGCCATCACAAAGCCCTGACCTCAATCCTATAGAAAATGTGTGGGCAGAACTGAAAAAGCGTGTGCGAGCAAGGAGGCCTACAAACCTGACTCAGTTACACCAGCTCTGTCAGGAGGAATGGGCCAAAATTCACCCAATTTATTGTGGGAAGCTTGTGGAATGCTACCCGAAATGTTTGACCCAAGTTAAACAATTTAAAGGCAATGCTACCAAATACTAATTGAGTGTATGTAAACTTCTGACCCACTGGGAATGTGATGAAAGAAATAAAAGGTGAAATAAATAATTCTCTCTACTATTATTCTGACATTTCACATTCTTAAAATGAAGTGGTGATCCTAACTGACCTAAAACAGGGAGTTTTTAGTAGGATTAAATGTCAGGAATTGTGAAAAACAGAGTTTAAATGTATTTGGCTAAGGTGTATGTAAACTTCCGACTTCAACTGTATGTGTAGTAGAAGAAGAAAGCCTGGGTGGGGCCAGAGAGAAAGGTTAACACTCTCCCTCCTCTTTATCAAAATACAGACCTAGCCTATACAGTGTGAGTCTGGTATGATGGCTAGAGGACCCCCTGAAAGGGACAGTTATGCTCATGCCAGCTCCGTCACTTCTGGCGTCTGGTTACAGTCAGCCAATAGGAACAGCCGATGGCTCAGAGACAGCTGCCTGGCCCGGACAATGTCACACAAGGACAACGCAGAGCATTTTAGAGGCAATATGAGCTGTGTCATTGTGTGGTGTGCAGGCTTTCTTACCCCTTTGCTCGGTGTGTGTGTGTGTGTTTGTGTGTGTTTGTGTGTGTGTGTGTGTGTGTGTGCACGCACGTGTGTGCATGTGTATGTGTGTGTAGGAGCGACAGAGGTTGGAGACCATCCTTAGCCTGTGTGCGGAGTACACCAACTCTCCCCAATGTCTGGGTGGTGAGACAGGGAGTACAATAGGGCACTTCCCTGGACCAGTGGAGGGGGGCGCTAGAGAGAAACCCTGTACAGAGACAGGTGGTGGGGCGACCCAGCGAGGAGGAGTGGCTCAGAAGCAGAGAGAGAGTGATGAGGAGAACCAGAGAGAGGAGTCCAGCAGCACAGAGAGCACTCACCAGGAGGTGAGAAAAAACACACGCACAAACACACACACGCACGTGCGCATACGACGCAGGCACTCACACACACAAGCATTCTCGGACGGTGCAATTGCCGTACCATGCGGTAATACAGCCCGATGGTGCATCTGTAGAAGTTTGTGAGGGTCTTAGGGGCCAAGTAGAATTTATTCAGCCTCCTGAGGTTGAAGAGGCGCTGTTGCGCCTTCTTCACCACATTGTCGGTGTAAAGGGACCATTTCAGGTCCTCAGTGATGTGCACGGCAATGGACTTGAAGCTTTTGACCCTCTCTACTACGGCCCTGTTGATGTGGATCCCTTCACACCGATTTGCTCTCTCTACTGTGTCCTGTAGTCCACTGTTGTGTCATCAGAAAACTTGATGATTGAGTTGAAGATGTGCGTGGCCACAGTCATGGGTGAACAGGGAGTACAGGAGGGGGCTGAGCACACACCTCTGTGGGGCCCCCCTGTTGAGGATCAGCATGGCAGAGGTGTTGTTGCCTACCTTCACCACTTGGGGTTGCCCGGTCAGGAAGTCTAGGACCCAGTTGCACAGGGAGGGGTTCAGACCCAGGGCCCTGAGCTTAGTGATGAGCTTGGAGGGCACTATGGTGTTGAAGGCTGAGCTGTAGTCGATGAACAGTATTCTTACATAGGTATCCCTCTTCCAGGTGGGATATTGCAGTGTGCAGTTGATCTATTGGGGCGGTATGGAAATTGTAGTGTGTCTAGGGGTGTCGGGTAAGGTGGAGGTGATATGATCCTTAACTCTCAAAGCACTTCATGATGACAGAAGTGACTGCCACGGGGCGATAGTCATTTAGTTCAGTTAACTTCACTTTCTTGGGGACAGGAATAATGGTGGACATTTTGAAGTAAGTGGGGACAGCAGACTGGGATAGGGAGAGATTTAATATGTCCGTAAACAATCCAGCCAGCTGGTCGGCACATGCTCTAAGGGCGCGGCTTGGGATGCCGTCTTGCAAGGGGTTAATACACTTAAATGTCTTACTCACGTCGGCCACAGAGATCGGGAGCACACAGTCCTCGTGAGTGGTATGGGCCCACGTCGGTGGCTCGGTGTTCTCTGAATGTACTCACATTGGTGCATGTATGCTTTATCCAGCAGGAGGACTCAGGGTCAGGGTTAGGTGTGGGTGTGTCAGGGTTAGGATCAGGTGTATCTGGGCGTCAGGAGCAGCAGTATCTGGAGGAGGAGAGGACCAGGGTTCTGTCCAGGGTGGATGAGCTGAAACACAGAGTCACAGAGCTGGAGCAGCAGCTACAGGAGTCCAGACAGGAGGTAGGTTAACAAACAGCAACCCTTAAGCACTGCACTACTCTCCAGTTATGAGTACACCGTTAAAATGAAGTGCTTTGTAACACTTAAACTAGTGGCGACTGTGCTGCCACCAACTTAAAGGAGACTAAATCTTTACTTTGCGGCAGGTAGCCTTGAGGTTAGAGCGTTGTGGGCCAGTAACCAAAAGGTTGATGATTCGAATTCTGGAGCAGACAAAAAATAAATACAAATAATGTTGCTGTGCCCTTGAGGAAGACACTTAACCTTAATTGCTCCAGGGGCGCTATACAATCGCGACCCTGGCCGTGACCCCTCTACCTGCGGGTGTCTCAGGGGGAGTTGCGATTTGCAAAAAAACACATTTCCATTACACACTTCTGTGTGTAACAGGACAAATATAAGCACCCCCCAAATTATATTATTATAGGATAAACAGTAACTTCTACCTGATACAGCCAGCTGAGGATGGACTTTAGAATCTGGTTCCTCTCCAGGTTTCTTGCCACTGTGCTTCTACTTGCTCTTTTTCTGAGTCTAGTCCGGGTTACTGTAAACTAAGCACTGTTGTCCTGTTTGCCTGTCTGTCCTTCCCAGGCGGAGATGGAGAGGGCTCTTCTGCAGGGGGAGAGGCAAGCTGAGCAGGAGCAGGTCGAGACAGAGACAGAGATAATCTCTCAGCTCCAGTCTAAACTCAGCCAGCTGGACAGGGCCACCCAGAGGGAGAAAGACAAGGTAGGACCATCTAGTAACAGACCACACACATACAACTGCTTGTTCACTCACAAGCACTCATCTAGCTACACACCTCCACGTGCACAGAGGTGTGCATGGAGCTTGTAAAAGTAGTTGGACATCAAAGCTCTGCATCAATGATCAACCTTCATTTATATGGCCAAGCGTGTTGAGTACTGATGCTCAGATAGGTACACACTTTTCAGCTTATTTTTTTTCCTGTTGACTCAAAAAGATGCTTGAAGCCTTGCAACCTTAACCCCCAGCACCCTAACCCCCTCACTCACCTACTACCTTTGACCTCTCTTTAAAGCTGCTTGGCTGCATGGCGTGGTTTTGAGCCGTGTATTTTTTTTCTTCTCCCTGGGACGGTGTGTGTGTGGTGTGTGTTCTAGGGGAGGGCTAATGTGTCTGCTGAGCGGCAGCTGCTGGAGAGACTTCATGAGGGGTACAGTGAGCTGAAGAGCCAGGTTCATAACTGTCCTGAATCTCTGAGGGAACAGTTACAGGAGCAGCTACGGAGGGTCAGTGCTCTTCACACACCCTAGTCCACTAGAACTAGAACTAGAACTAGAACAATAGAACTAGAACTAGAACTAGAACTAGAACACTAGAACTAGAAAACTAGAACTAGAATGCTAGGACTAGAACACTAGAACTAGAACAATAGAACAAGAACACTAAAACTAGAACACTAGAACTAGAACACTAGAACTAGAACACTAGAACTAGAACAATATAACTAGAACACTAGAACTAGAACACTAGAACTAGAACAATAGAACTAGAACACTAGAACTAGAACACTAGGACTAGAACACTAGAACTAGAACTAGAACACTAGAACTAGAACACTAGAACTAGAACACTAGAACTAGAACACTAGGACTAGAACTCTAGGGGCTCTATTTTCGGTTGTGTCAAATGCACGTTAGTTTGCAATTTTGGCATGTAAAAATTGGCGCACTGGCATTTTCCAGCCCTAATGCCAGGTTCGGCAATTTATCTGTCTAACATCAGCTCACTTGCACTGAGGTGGGATCGGTGGCAATATTTGAGGTGTGTCCAAGCACAACAGTGTCAATTTCATGCAGTGCTAATGGTACGTTTTAAGACCCACAAAAAGCAGGTCTTAACGGTAAAGCAGTTGATAATGGCATGGATTTTGAGAGCAGAAGCGCAGCCTGTACAGCCATGACGCACAGTGCCCATGGAAGGAGAGATGTACCTTTTGTGGCGGTGAATCTCGTATTTAGAAACATAAAAAAATGGTTTCCCACCATTTCGTTTAATTTGATTAAAAACCAAGCACAGCCTACCCTTAATCAAGGCTGGTTTAACAGCATCACATAGATGCCTCTTTTTATCCTTGCCATTAGCCAAAAGTAGCTCATGAATAAAGGGTTTTGAAATGGTTCACAATTCACATACCTGCATTTTGCTTGTTCAAGTAGGCTATCCATCCCCATTTAGGGTGGCAGGTAGCCTAGCGGATAGCGCGTTGGGCCAGTAACTGTAAAATCACTAGTTCGAATCCCAAAGCGTTTTAATTCACATAATTTTAACATTCTGTCATAAAGAGCATGTGTTCAACTTAATAAAAAACATGTTTTTGCATCGACCCACTCAGTTTTCCACCACAAAACACCAGAAAATGGCCAAAAAGAGTAGAACCAGAACCACTATGATTTTACTATTAGATGTTCAAAGCTACAAAATAAGTAGGGCTTTACAATGATGATGAAAACGAAACATTTTGAGGTTAAGTGTGTTAACAATTTCCTAGACGTCACAGAGGGTGCACAGAGGGACATGCCAAAATGCTGAATCTTGGCACAAGTTTATAGAATTTTACATGTGGTTATATTAAAGGGCACTTTAATTTTACCACATTTAATATAACAGGCTTTTAAATTCAATATTGGGGCTCAATTTCTACTTAAAATATCAAAGGGACGCAAAAAGGACCCAGGTACTGCTTAAGTGTATTGCTTAGAAAAGAGCAAACATGTCAAAGCTGTGAATGAAATAACATTTGGACACTGGAGTTCATTCAGGACTATGGAAGTCTTATCGCTTTGCATGTGCTTGTTGTATTTTTTTTATGTCTTTTTTAAAAGTAGGCTAGAAGTATACTGTGCCCTTTCTGCTGTGTATGTTGCAATATCATATAAAAATGTGCTTTACTAATTAAATAACTAGCTAACATGTTTTCATGTTGTTATTACTTCTGTTTGTCAGTGAATAAGACCTCCCCATTTTGAATTGGTGTGACCTGTCTGTGTGTCTGTCTTGCACTTGTCTGTATGTCTGTTTGTGTCTATGTGTCTATGGCAAGATGCAGATGGCGCCGACAGACATGGAAGCTCTGCTTCTAGCTCCTAAGCAACTTTGCAGTATTTTTTTTTTTTGTGTGTATTATTTCTTATTGTTAGATACTACTGCACTGTTGGAGTTAGGAACACAAGCATTCCGCTACACCCACAATAACATCTGCTAAATATGTGTATGTGACCAATAAAATATGATTTGATTTGATCTGTCTGTGTGTCTGTCCATCTGTCTGTGTGTCTGTCTGTAGGAGGCAGAGGCGCTTGAGGTGGGGACCAAGCAGTTTGAGGACCTGGAGTTCCGTCAGCTGGAGAGAGAGAGCGGTCTGGAGGAAGAGAAGGAGACGCTCAGCAGACAGCTGCTCCTGGAAAGGGCCGAGTACCACCGCAGCGTGGCCAAGAGGAAGGTAGGACAAGACACACTGCTACACAGTAATCTACACCATATTGGTAATTATAAACCCTTTCACACTACTGAGCCGAGCCGAACCAAGCTGAACTGTAGTACGCTGGTCTGGTTAGTGGTTAAGCATCCACCACAGTTGCTAATACCGTGCTGATAAAATATCAGAACTAGTTCAGTACGGTTCAGATTGGCCCAATCGTGTGAGCGGGATAATAGTCATACTATCATGGAAAGTATGGAATTGAAAAAACATCGGAGCTTGCATTGTAAGATGGGATGTAAAGCGAAGTGCCCCTTGATCTTTAGGAGAAGATGGCTGCTCTGGAGGTGCAGGCCAACCAGTTAGGGGTGCAGGCAGCTCAGGACTGTGAGAGGATGGCTAAAGATAGGACCCTGGCCCTACAGCTGCTTCATAAGGAGAAGGACAGGCTGTCTACTCTGGAGAAGAGATATCACACTCTGACAGGAGGACGGAGCTTCCCCAAGCCCTGCAGCACCATGAAGGAGGTGAGAAGAAGGAACACAATCAATTGAATTCATCTTGATTTATCCAGGATAGTCTTTAAATAATACATGATTTGTTTCTTAGGCTTAAAAATGTGGATACTTTTTTGTTTGTTTTTGTTTTTAGAATCATTTGAAAGGGGGAGGTGCCTTACAAGCCTCTCTGTTTTGTTTTTTTACCTCTCCGGCACATGCTCTTTTCATTTGCCGTTTAAACTCTCATTATATTGTTTTGCATTTTCTTGTGTGCGAATAAATAAATAGTCCACTCAGCAGCAACTGTCACTGTTTCCTAGAGAGTCCTGGGATCTATAAAAGCAACTTACAAGCCTGACAACTAACAAGTGAGGCCGCAGTACCTCAGAGATGCTGAGGACTCTTGTTAGTGTAAATTGCTGACACATCACTGAGCTGGCCTCTCTTACTGAAAGGAGATCAGCTATGTTTGTCAAGCTGGACTCTCTAGTCTAAATGATATAGGTGAAAGCTATTGTACTGCTGGGTTGCTGTGATGAATAGAGGAGACTCGTTAGGGTTAGGATTTGTTGCTTACAGTGTAGGGTAACAGGTTTAACCATAGACCTTTGAGTACACATTTGACTGAAAACTTTTACTGAAACAGGAAGTACCAGTGCTGCATATCAGCGAACCTGACCTGGTACAGGTAGAGGGGGAGGTTGTCCCTCCTCCACATCCTCCCTACCCTCCTCCTGCCTCCTTCTCTTCCTCCTCCTCGTACACCCCCTCCCCTGACCTCTGTCCCACCAGGCCACAGGAGGTAAACACACTGATGCATGTGGACTGACTACACTACCCATAATGCAGCCTGACTACACTACCCACAATCCCCCTTCCTTGGGGACGTATCCTAACCTGGCTTGCTCTGCATTGAGTGTGTTGTGTCCACTAAGAGAAATGGACATGAGTGGTTTTTCAGAAGCTTGAAAAATAATCCCTTATTTGTTTTAGTCTGTCGGTGTGTCTTATGACAAGGTGGCCTGTGCCTGAATGTTTCTGCATCTACATTTGTATCGTTTGTGTTGGGGTTGTCTCAATTTGTGACGTCGGGATCCAGTGTGTTTGGACCAAGTATCTGTCTGTTTTCTGTGGCTTGGTTGGCTTACCTTTACCCTTTGTGATGAGTACCAGTAATGTAGTTTGAGGTGACTTATTTTTTGTGTGATAATGATCATACACAAAATTAATTTTAGGAACTTAGTGCATGTGTGTGGGAATCTGTGTATGGGAATCTGTGTGTGGGTGTGTGTGTGTGTGTGTAGGGGTGTGTATGTACAAAAAATAAAAAAAATGTATGGACTCCCTACTGTAAGTCGCTCTGGATAAGAGCGTCTGCTAAATAACTCAAATGTAAAATGTGTGGGAGAGTAGGGGTATTTTGTCTTTGAATATACAATCTATCCCTTATTTCAACTTGTGTGTGCTTGTGTTGTGGGTGTTGGTGTTGATGCAGGAGTACCTCAGGCTCGCTGATGTCTATAAGATGTATGGGAGCTGTGGTCCTCTCCCAACCTACTCTACCTCCCCTGCTCCTCACTGCCTCTCTCTCACTGTTGCTCCAGCAGCTCTGCCCCGCGAGGTAGAATATACCACCTGCTTTCTATTATTCCCTCTGTTTCTGTTTTCTGTTTCAAAAGTTACTTTCTTTTATGAATCTTTTATTAAATGGCTTTCTTGGAGATATACCCTTGGTTAAAATTCTTACCTCTCTCTGCTCTCTCCCAATATCTACAACATTTGCCTTAATTGTGTGTGTGTGTGTGTGTGTGTGTGTGTGTGTGAGTGTTTGTGTGTGTGTGTGTGTTTGTGTGTGTGCGCATCCCTGCGCGCGCGTGTTGGTTATCTTTGTAAAGGAATACGTCACAGTTAGTCAGTTAAGCCAGATGTTGGGGATGCAGAAACGTGGCCCCTCCCCCGCACCTTCTATCCAGTCATTCCAGCTTGCGCTCGCTGACCCTGCCTTCTCCTGCCACTCAACTCCATGTGACCCCTCCCCCACTATCTCAGTCGAGGTGTGTGCCTCCCTCCTGGCTTTAAACCCCTAAAACGTTTATACGGTTTACGGAGATATGGAATAAAATGTATTGTGGATAAAGTTCTCTTGGGCTTTGGTATAGACAAACTGCACTTTCTCCTTTCTCCTAAAGGCTGTTTAGAATTTAGTTCAGTCATTTTTGGTTAATGGACCAACCTTTGTGAGCATAGAATGTTCTGAAATCACTTTATTAATTATGAATAACTTTATGACTATGTTATGAATGGTTCCTTTTACTGTCTGGGTAAAAGAAAGTCTTCGACATCAGCTTTATATTACTCATATCAAGGAATTTCCATTCTATTACTTCTTGTTTTTCCTGCCTCCTACCTCTTTTATGCTTCTCATCCGGTCTCTGTTGCTCTCCTGCTCTGCTCTCTGCCTGGACTCTCTGCACCACCAACCCCCTCAGAGCCAGCCTGAGTGGATTAGACCTCACAACCCAGCCCTTAAATTAGAGCGCTGGTACCAGGACATAATGTCAGCAGGGGAGCCACACCACCAGTCATGCCCTCCCCCTCTCCCTGCTAAGTCTCACTCCTCACGCAGACCTAGCCAGGTAAACCTCTCGCCTCTCTTTGCTTCAGTCTTCTATTTGTCCTGTTCTTCATTTCATTTCCTGATATGATGTTTGCCATTTTGATCAGGGTTGGGTTGCTGACCAGTGGTGGTGATTGTTTACATCAGTGTCTTTGATGCTACCTGGTCATCTTGGTCTTCTGCTGTGTCATGGAGACCTGTTCTGGTCACCTGTCTGACTGACTTGTTTGACTTCCTCTGGTCTTGTCTTCAGGTGTACCGGTCAAAACCAGATGGTGATGTAGTTCAGACAGCATCACGCTCTAGTAGTGTCAACGGTACTGCCAGCCCTCCACAGTCCAATGGGGTTACACTGGGCCGAAGCACACCCACCAAGGTAAGGGACTCTCTAATAATCCTCTACCCATAGATCATGGTGGTAGGAACTATAATATTATACTCTACTCTATTCTATTCCCTTCTCTTTTATTATATTATATAACATTCCGTTCCATATTATATTATGATATTCTCTATTATATTCTACATGTATACGTAATCCCTCTTCATAACTCCCCCCTCCCTCTGTCCCTTCCCAGGGTCTCCAGCTGGTGTCCAGGGAGCTGTCAGTGTCAGGCCCTCCAGACATGGTGATGGACACCAGGAGGCAGCTGTCACTGCAGACCAAAGGTAACAGAGCCCCTCCCCTTCCCCTGTCTGGTTCCACCCACTAGTACACATCAATGCTTCTCCCACTTCTACAGTATGATTCCCTCATAGCCAAAAGACCATGGACGTTACTGTACCTGTGAGACTAGAACCAAAACTATGATGTTGTTGGAGAAAATATAAACTGTAGGCAACTGCAGGGGGAAACTGGGGAAACAGTTGGGAAATTGTTTGATTGATTATATTACTATTTATTGATTGCATGTATTCTGCAGGATTCATTTGTAAGAGACCTGGGTATCAATATGACTCCCTGTTGAAATAAAGGTGAAATAAAATCAATGCAAAACCAGATGCAATGCCTCATATAGTAGAATACTGCACTTAAAATGGTGTCATTCTTGTTCTTACATTGTGGTTTCACAGAGTCCCTCCCATCTAGTTCAGAGTCCCTCCCACCTAACTCTGAACCTCTCCCAGTTGTAGACAGGTAGTGGGTATTTTCTTCCTATAGAAAAAATTTATGGTTCTTTTGCATTCGAGCCTATAACACAGAATTCAGACCAGCTATGAATATGCTGCGAAAATATTGCCCTCCATAATGTTTGCATTAATGATATGGCATCAACAGAGGCATACATAGAAGAATGATATACTGTAGATGTAAATATTTCCTTTGCTAATGGGACCCATCTCGTGGGCTAATGGGCATAATGGGACCCATCTCGTGTCAGACCATCCTTCTGTGAGCTGAAGCTGAAGCTCAGCTGGGTCATGCAGCAAGACAATGATCCAAAACACACAATCAAGTCTACATGAAAATTGCTAAAAAAGCAACAAATTGGAAGTTTTGGAATGGCCTAGTCAAAGTCCAGACCTAATCCCAATTGAGATGTTGTGGCAGGACTTGAAACGAGCAGTTCATGCTTGAAAACCCCCACGTCACTGAGTTAAAGCAGTTCTGCATGGAAGAGTGGGCCAAAATTCCTCCACAGCGACGTGAGAGACTGATCAACAACTACAGGAAGCATTTGGTTGGAGTCATTGCAGCTAAAGGTGGCACAACCAGTTATTGAGTGTAAGGGGGCAATTACTTTTTCACACAGGGGAATTGGGTGTTGCATAACTTTGTTTATGAAATAAATTAAATAAATATGTAATTGTTGTGTTATTTGTTCACTTATGTTCCCTTTATCTAATATTAGGTTTTGGTTGAAGATCTGATAACATTCAGTATCACAAATATGCAAAAGTAGAGAAAATTAGAAAGGGGGCAAATACTTTTTCATAGCACTGTATATACAGTTAAAAACATGGGGATCCATAATAAATACAAATACAAATATCCTGGCCACTGTCTGGTCTAAACAACAGCCTGCTATGACATCTCAGTACCACTAGGTGGCGCGTGCGCTGCAGTCATTAGATAACCATTTCACTGCCCTGTTTTCACCTCCTCCCACAGGCCCTCCTCCCATGGTCCACCACTCCATCCTGCACCACCAGACACCCCCCTCAGGGGACCCGCAGTATGACACCCTCAGCCTGGAGAGCTCTGACAGCGTCGAGACCTCCGTCTCCACCGGCAACAACTCTGCCTGTTCTCCAGAAAGGTGAGAGACGAGACGGGGGGAGACGGGGATACCACGGCAACTCAGTCTGTTTCCATGGGAACACTCAAGTCTGCCCTCTCTATGTCCCTGACGATGATGGGTCACTGTGTTCACTTTTGTTCCCCTGACAACATGTTTTGTTACACGTCTGTTACCTTGACAACACGTTTCACACTAGCCTGTTGCTATGCCAACCCGCTCAAGCGGTAGGCGAGGAGAACCTCACCTGTTTGAGTTGTTTATGGGATTCCCCCAGGGAAGATACTACAGTAGAAACTGTTTCATATAAAACGGAGGCAGATATAATAGCAGCTCCATAGTGTTGTACAAAAGCTTCTTGAATGTTATCTACAGAGGAGTGCTGCTCTGGTAACTGGTACCGTTTTGGAGCTTTGTTGTTTGTAGACGGTTTGGAGTCATGTTTTTATTTACTTTTCATTCCCAGTGCAGTACTGTAGTAAACATCTAATTTGAGTACTGTAGTAACCTCCCCCCCCCCCCCCCCCCCCCCCCCCCCTCCCTCCCTGTGTAGTAGTAACATAACATCCCTCTCTCTTTGTGTAGTGGCAGTGGGCTTGAGGCCCTGAGGATCGAGGAGATGGAGAAGATGTTGAAGGAGGCTCAGCATGAGAAAGCCAGGCTGGTGGAGAGCAGAGTGAGTCCAAACAACATGTCTCACACCAACACCAATGGAGCATATAACCTACAGATAATTATGGCAAATGGAGATTCCTTCTACTACAGTGCAACTGATTTTTTGTTGTCTCTACACCCCCATTCTCTTCTATCTGTCTCACTCTCAATCCATGAACCCATATTTCCCCTGACCAATCACCTTGCCATTGTTTACCTGCTGCACTTCCTGTCTCTCTCATGTCTCTTCCTCCATCCTTCTCTCCATCTGCTCTCCCCTCTTTTCCTCCCGCCCGTCCCCAGGAGAGGGAGGTGCAGGCGCGGAGGCAGATGTTGGAGGAGGAGCGGGGGAGGCGCGAGGAGGCCGAGAGGAGGCTGCAGGACGAGACGGCCCACAGGCAGAGGCTGGTGGAGGAGGAGGTGAAGATGAGAGAGAAGCACTTCTCTCAGGTTAGTGGAACAACGCAGCAGGAGAGGAGGACTGGATGGAGGGAGGATGGAGAAGGAGGGCGGGTGGAGAGAATGAAAGACAAGAAATGGGGAGTGAGGGTGGGAAGATCAGATGGTGAGTTAAGAGAGAAAACAAAGAGAGAGGGCGGGGAATGGAGAGTTTGAAGGAAGAAGAGAGAGAGAGAAAGGGAGAGAGAGAGAAGGGAGAGAGTGCGAGAGAGAGGGTTCACAGTAAAGTATGATATATATATATATCACGAGTGATTTTATCTCAGTTGATTGGGTTTAATTGTCTATATTTTCTGCAGTGAATAATGAAACTAAACAAACATCCTCTGGGATGATAAAGGTGCACCTGGCGTGCCTAGTTAAGTAATACTTATATTATCATACATATTAAGTCTCCCCACTACACTGCTGCCTCAGCTTGTGTTGTAAAAGGATGGAACTTTCACTCACATAGTTATAGACATAAAAATAGAATTACTAGAAGGGACATAGCCGAGCCTCAGACCACTGCAATTGAAATAGAATACTCATGGGCACACTCAACATGGCCGTCGGTCCACCCATCACGAACCATTTATTTGAACGGGATGTCCATTCTAGTCATTCTATTTTTATGGTGAAGCCTCTTTGTGGGGTGTGTGTTAGTGTGTCTGGGGGTGTTGGGATAAAGGAAACAGACAAATCTAAGTGTCTCTGTGATAATAAAGTAATCTTCACCTCCCTCTCTGTCCTCTCCCCAGGCCCGCCCCATGACACGATACCTACCCATCAGGAAGGAGGAGTTTGACCTGCGTTCGCACGTGGAGTCGTCGGGTCACAGCGTGGACACCTGTCCCTACGTCATCCTCACAGAGAAGATGTGCAAGGGACACCTGGTCAAGATGGGCGGCAAGATCAAGTCGTGGAAGAAACGCTGGTTTGTCTTCGACCGCCTCAAGAGGAACTTCTCCTACTATGCTGGTGAGGAAGGAAGCCATTCCCTAATTAGTCATCCTAACATCTTTTTCTATGAACCACGTAGGAAGGAAGCAATGGCCTAACCGCTCTATTAGTGGGTTAATGACAGAATTCTGTTATGTAGCCCAGAAGATAAGATATGGCACCCTATTCCCTATGGTGTGGTTTGACCACTTCTGCCCTGTTCTCCGAATCCCCCCCCCCTCCCCTCTCTCTCTCTCTCTCTCTCTCTCTTTCTCTCTTTCTCTCTCGGATCACTTCCGCCTAGCCTTTTCACCCCCTCACTCCTGACGATGATGGTGGTGATGAAATAATCTGCAATACTTTGTGGTGCTGTGCGTTTCTAAGGGAGGCGAGGAGGCTGGGCTAGCTCCTGGCTGGCTTGGTCGTGACTAACAAAACCAAACTCACAACATCTTCAAAAACATTTATCTCATTACTAAGCAGATTTGGCTAATCAAAAAAGGCAAGATGGTGAAAGAGAAAAAGTGGGATGGATTTCAAAGGATTTGCTTTTTAATTGTTGTCGGCTATTGGTCTGCTTTTTTGTTTTCCGTGCACACTAAAGAGCCTCGCTGGCTACCATTGTTTATTTGAATAAGGATTAAATATATATATATATATATATATATATATATATATATATATATATATATATATGTATATATATATATATATATATGTATATATATATATATATATATATATATATATATATATATATATATATATATATATATATAAATGTTTCAGAAATCCTTTTCTTGCCACACAGCAGGGAGAATGAATTCTTAACTCCAAAATCAGTTTGACTCTATGAAACTCAGTTATCTTAAGGGCATTTTTAGACAGTCACGCGTCCATCCTAAGACTTATTAATTAATAGCAGTTTATATATTGGACTGCACTTGACCATCAAGTATGTAGGCAAATCAAAAACAAAAAATGTATAAATACTTGTTGAATTCCAATTCAGTTCAATACAGTACAATGAAAAATAGGGTAGATTCACAAAGTAGACAGACTCCAATATCTTCTTTTCACGATTTCTTATGTTTTTTTTTTTTTACTTTCTTGAAGCAGCAAGAAAGCTTGACACAATTCAATTCAGTGTTATTTTGTCAGAGTGAAACAGAAACAGAAAGGCCTGTTATTGCATCAGTATAAGACTATAAAACACTGTGATTCTCCTTTCTCTCCTCTCAGACAACTTAAAACACTGTGTTTTCTTTCTGTCTTCCTCTCAGATAAGCATGAGACCAAGCTGAAAGGACTCATCTACTTTCAGGCTATAGAGGAGGTATACTACGATCACCTACGCAGTGCCACTAAGGTACAGAACCCTTCACTCTATCCGCTACAGCTTAACACTCAGTACATTGTCATTACATTCTTCAGTTCTGAATTTATTTTAAATGTATTTACTGTGATCACTTTTTTACTAGTTAATGTACAGATTTTGTTTTGTTTTATTACAATATTACTGTTTTGTTTGAAATTGATTTTAAATACTTTAAAAGTAATTAGCAAGAATGTAGGATTTTTGCAAATAATGCTCTTACTAGATGTTATTTATTGGAGATAGATGTGCATTTTCAAATCACGGAACAGTGTGTTTAAGAGCTCTCGGCAAAGACAGAGCTGCAGTAAGTTATCATTAACTTATTTGTCAACTAAATGTATAAATATTTAAGGACAAGTTACCATGTATATTCTTAGTAATTTTGTGATAATTAACACCCTGTCAAATAAAGTTGAATTGATTGTACAATGTACTCTTTTCCACAAAGTATTTTTCACCTTGATAATACTTTCTTTTATTTTCCTTCCCCTCTCCCTCTCCTCCTCTCTCTCTCTCCAGAGCCCCAACCCGTCGCTGACCTTCTGTGTGAAGACTCACGACCGGCTCTACTTTATGGTGGCCCCATCTCCAGAGGCCATGAGGATCTGGATGGATGTCATAGTAACCGGGGCGGAGGGATACACACAGTTCATGACCTGAGGGACCGAGCTCTCCGGGTGACAGACAACAGGGTTGTGTTCATTAGGGCGCGTAATGGAAAAACATTTGAAAACCATTTGCAACAGAAAACGAAAATGTTAGTTTATTTTTGGACAAGTCCGAGTAGTTCCTCTCTGTTTCAGTCCTTTTTCTTCCGTTTGGTGCCTAATGAACATGACCCAGGAGAGAGAGAGACCACGGGGTTGCTGCTCCCAGATGTCTGTCTGCAGCTCTCTATGAGTCCCTGTACCTTTCAGAATTATAGATCTCTGTAACTCACATGGATAGGACTCTTCCTCTGTGTGATGGATGGATGTACTTCATGGGAAGTTATCCAATATACAGGTAACTGCCTAAATAAAGGAAACACGTGAGTAAATTAGGAATAATGAATCAATTAACATCCCATCATGCTTAGGGTCATGTACAGTATAAAAATGCCCGGTTGCCCATTATTTTGGCTACCATGGCTAGAACAGGAGATCTCAGTGACTTTGAAAGAGGGATCTCAAAGGAGCACATGGGGTTTAGAGGGTGTGTGTGTGTGTGTGTGTGTGTGTGTGTGTGTAAGTCGCTCTGGATAAGAGCATCTGCTATATTACTAAAATGTAAATCTACATACAGTACCCGTATATACACCTACTTATTCAAGGGATTTTCTTCATGTTTTTTTTCTTCCATTTTCTACATTGTAGAATAATAGTGAAGACATCAAAACTGTGAAATAAGACATATGGAATCATGTAGTAACCAAAAAAGTGTTAAACAAATCAAAATATATTTTGTATTTGAGATTCTTCAAAGTAGCCACCCTTTGTCTTGATGACAGCTTTGCACACTCTTGGCATTCTCTCAACCAGCTTCATGAGGTAGTCAGCTGGAATGTGCCTTGTTAAAAGTTAATTTGTGGAATTTCTTTCCTTCTTAATGCGTTTTGAGCCAATCAGTTGTGTTGTGACAAGGTAGGGTTGGTATACAGAAGATAGCCCTATTTGGTAAAAGACCAATAAGAAGAAGAGACTTGCTTGGGCCAAGAAACACAAGCATTGGACATTAGACCGGTGGAAATCTGTCCTTTGGTCTGATGAGTCCAAATTGGAGATTTTTGGTTCCAAACGCTGTGTCTTTGTGAGACGCAGAGTAGGTGAGCAGATGATCTCTGCATGTGGGGTTCACACCGTGAAGCATGGAGGAGGAGGTGTGATGGTGTGGGGGTGCTTTGCTGGTGACACTGTCTGTGATTATTTAGATTTCAAGGCACACTTAACCAGCATGGCTACCACAGCATTCTGCACCGATACGCCATCCCATCTGGTTTGTGCTTAGCGGGACTATCATTTGTTTTTCAACAGGAAACCTCCAGGCTGTGTAAGGGCTATTTGACCAAGAAGGAGAGTGATGGAGTGCTGCATCAGATGACCTGGCCTCCACAATCACCTGACTTCAACCCAATTGAGATGGTTTGGGATGAGTTGGACCGCAGAGTGAAGGAAAAGCAGCCAACATGTGCTCAGCATATGCGAGAACTCCTTCTAGACTGTCGGCAAAGCATTCCAGGTGAAGCTGGTTGAGAGAATGCCAAGAGTGTGCAAAGCTGTCATCAAGGCAAAGGGTGGCTACTTTGAAGAATATAAAATATATTTTGAATTATTTAACACTTTTTTGGTTACTACATGATTCCATATGTGTTATTTCATAGTTTTGATGACTTTACTATTATTCTACAGTGTAGAAAATAGTACAAATAAAGAAAAACCCTTGAATGAGTAGGTGTGTCCAAACTTTTGACTGGTACTGTATATCTCAGTCACCAGATCTCAACCCAATTGAACACTTATGGGAGATTCTGGAGTGGCGCCTGAGACAGCGTTTTCCACCACAATCAACATAACACCAATTGATGGAATTTCTCGTGGAAGAATGGTGTTGCATCCCTCCAACGCCCTATTAAGACTCTTTATGTTGGCGTCTCCTTTATTTTGGCAGTTACCTGTAGCTTTCCAGAGGTAGCCCTGGGTCTCAGACCAGTAAAGCTCATAAAGGAAGAAAGGTTTTACATACGATACTTAAAGGGATGTTTTTTTACTCACTCTGTTTAATATAATAGTCAGTTTAAGGGCTCTATTCAATCCGTATCGCGGAAGTTCAGTATTACAACGCGATTGAAATTTAAAGGCAATGTTCCCGCGTTAGCAGAGACTACATTCATGGTAAACGCTGCATATGTCGGCTCAATCTGACATTACCTTTACATTTCTATCGTGCAATCTGTAACGCTTCAGTGACACAGATTGAATAGAACCCCTAAGCATTGTATTTATATTATAGAATTATAGCCAGACTAACTAAATGAGAGTTTATACTACCTGACTGTCTCTGGATCTATATAGGGAACTCTGTATAAAGACAATATGAAAATATGTAAAGGATAAATTCCCTTTTTTTGCCAAATGTTTTTAACAGAGTGTATATGCTATTATATTGCCTATGAAAATAATTCATATTTTACTGAATTTGTCTAATATTTGATTAACTATAAGTCATCATATTAATGGCATATTATTTAGAGTTCATTCATTCTGATAAAATCTAAATCTTTGTGCCAGCTATTGTAAGCTTTATGTATGTTTGGTCAGACTGTCAGAAAAATTATCTCAATTTTTTATATTATTTTAAAGACTTTTCATATGGAAAATAACATAACACAAGCACGCCAACATTTCAAACCAGTCTTCTACACCGCAAACAAGATAGTACTGACGGTGTTTACACTATCTCAACATAAACACCTTTTAAATAAAAGTTGCAAATGCATAATTACCAATTGTGTAATTTTAATTTTGCCGCTGACTAATCAGGCAGCTTAAACAGTAAATCAATGTGTACTAAATAGACAAAACAAAGTACAATAGTTACTTTGTACCTTTGCGGATGTGAATGCCATACAAGGCCAGGTTGTTTAAGCAGACATAACTCATTCCAGGCAGTTCTCCAAAGAAAAGCTAATTTCTTTCCTTTTTGTCTTTTTTATGAAAAGAAACTACAACAGTGAATTAATGACTTATTTAATAATAATAATATGAATAAAAAACATATTCAATATGATTCAACATTAATAGAAAATAACATGAAATCTATTCTGGGTGGCATTTATAGGTGAAGGTGCATTTTAAGAACCTCATTCATAGACAATACATCTAGGACAAGAGAGAGCAGTACAGTGGGAACTATCTCCCTTCCTTCCACCTCCCTCCTTCCCTCCACAGGACCTATGGGATTAGAGTGATTTTCTCTTCCTGCAATGTTACACTTTATTTGTTTCATCCCCTGTAACACAACAAGACCAGCAGGGTTAAAACACATGCACGCACAACACACACACCCACACACACACATAAAGCGCTCAGCAGCTTTCCCTCAATATTGCCACAGCACTGTTCAGAAAGAGTGGTGGGATGGTCACCCAATACCTTGTCCAGCTCTGAATAAAATTGGCATTGGGTTCTCCCGTTCCCACTCCTGCTATTACAGTCCTTGGCCTTTTCAAATATTAGATTTTGTGCTGGCATTGGATGTGGGAACGGGAACCCTTTTTCAAGAGGGGCTGAGATCCCCCTATGGCTATTGTCAAAGGACAGCCAGCCAATGTCGACAGTCAGCTGGCCAGTGTCGACCGACAGCATGACAGTGCCAACAGACAGTGTCCTGCTGAGTGACCTGGGGCTACCGAGGGTGGGCTAGGGGTCCATGGCCGGGTTGTTTTCAGGTGAAATACCTTCTGGAGTTATGCGAGTTCATAGACATTGTAGGGACAAACCCCCAAAGGTTTGTGTCTCACCACTGGCTGTCAGCATATGATGACATCAGCAACAAGAGAATGCTGGAGGATGAATATTTGCATACCGATAGGATGCATGGGGAGAGAGTAGCTCCGTTTTGTACCGACAAGACTGTGGATATATGAAGAAACCAGACAACATATACTGAACAAAAATATAAACGCAAATATAAACGCAACATGTAAAGTGTTTCATGAGCTGAAATAAAAGATTGCAGAAATGTTCCATACGCACAAAAAGCTTATTTCTCAGAAATGTTGTGCACAAATTTGTTTATATCCCTGTTCGTGAGCATTTCTCCTTTGCCAAGTGGTTTTCTGATGTCAACGTCGTGAACAGAGTGCCCATGGTGGCGGTGGGATTATGGTATGGGCAGGTGTAAGGGTTGGTGTGAGGTGTGACCCAGATGCGGTGCAGGATAGACAGTAGGCAGCAGGCAGAGACGGTGAAACAAGGATCTTTACTGGTGGTCCCGAAGCCAGGAAACAAAATAACGGACTTAACAGGATAAAAGAAAGGCGGAGCAAATAAGTCTCCAAAAACAGGCTGACAGCCAAAGTACAAAATAGTAACTATGACTGAAACAATAAAGAAACAGGGAGAACACTTCTCGAGTACCTGTACATACATCTCCGATCAGACACTGATTAGTACTGCTGAGCATAGAGAAACTAGCAGAGAAAACTGAGCAAGAGAACACAGGGAAGAGAGGGCATAAATACAGTGGCTTGCGAAAGTATTCACCCCCCTTGGCATTTTTCCTATTTTGTTCCTTACAACCTGGAATTAAAATTGATTATTGGGGGGTTTGAATCATTTGATTTACACAACATGCCTACCACTTTGAAGATGCAAAATATTATTGTGAAACAAACAAAAAAACAGAACTTGAACACGCACAATTATTCACCCCCCCAAAGTCAATGCTTTGTACAGCTGCAAGTCTCTTGGGGTATGTCTCTATAAGCTTGGCACATCTTCAAGGCAAAACTGCTCCAGCTCCTTCAAGTTGGATGGGTTCTGCTGGTGTACAGCACTCTTTAAGTCATACCATAGATTCTCAATTGGATTGAGGTCTGGGCTTTGACTAGGCCATTTCAAGACATTTAAATGTTTCCCCTTAAACCAATCGAGTGTTGCTTTAGCAGTATGCTTATGGTCATTGTCCTGCTGGAAGGTGACCCTCCATCCCAGTCTCAAATCTCTGGAAGACTGAAACAGTTTTCCCTCAAGAATTTCCCCGTATTTAGCGCCATCCATCATTCGATCAATTCTGACCAGTTTCCCAGTCCCTGCCGATGAAAAACATACATGGTGTTCTCGGGGTGATGA